AGGCCACTACAATCATATAATTACGTGCACAATAATCATATGAAAATAAAAGCGTAATAAATCAATCAAATCAAGAACTTGTGTTCAAATACATCAAAAATCCAAATCAATAATCAAACGTAGTATTGCAAGATTCATCGATCTCCTAACAATGATAAATCTAGCATAACATGCTAAAAAGAAGAAAATACAAAAATATTTGAAGAAACGTCATCACCCGAATCGATTTTCAATCCAATCTTCACTTGGCGCAATGTTGTTCTCTTGTTTTATCCTTCGTTTCTCCTTCAAAATCTCTCAAAAAAATGTAAAAACGGCGTCGCCCTCATTCTGGTCGAGTTTTTGTTTTTATAGAACCCTAAAAATATTGTTTCCATAAGAGTTTTAGCAGAAAAAGAAAATAGTGATTTTACCTTAATATGCGGTCGCGTAGAGTAAATTTTTTTTGTCTTTTTGTCTTCAGTATGCTTCTATGCGACTGCATAGAAGGTAGCACTATGCGGTAGCATAGTACTACCAACTATGGAAGATGTGCGTTTTGGTCCTCCCACTTGCATCCTTCACTTTTTGGCATCTTCTTTTCATTCCATCATCCCACGATATCGTCAATTGGCAATTAGCTTATTTAATTTCTCGATTTGTTAATCCAATCAACTTTTGGATAATTGCACCTTGGTCCCTGAACTTTCATTTTGCGTCATTTTAGTCTTTTTTCCCGTTTTTCCCCTAAATTTCACCATGTTCATCGTTGTTCCCTACAATTCACAAATGTAATGAAATTAAGTCACAATTTAATCATTTTACTCGTTATTCAGTCATGTTTGTGACCTAAATAAGTGTGCAAAAACATACTTATCATCGATTTCCAAAGAGGTTTTAGAACTATCTTCAGGTGTTCATTGCGTAGCACACACAATGTTAAAGAAGATTAAAAGGCTCAACTGACTATTGATATTAGTTTCCCTAAAGGATACATGCTCTTAAGGAAGCACATGAAGATATTAATGAAAGGGAAAAACTGAAAGAAACAAGAAGAAAGAGAGAGAAGAAAAATGAAGCAAAATTCAGATTTTTATTTTTATATCCGAGCTTCTGTTTTCTGCTTTTACTTTGTCTTGGGAATAGGTGGCTTCTGCAGGTGTGGAGAGAGATAGAGGAATAGCAGAAGTCATTGACTTTTCCCTTTTGTCTATCTTGCGTAGGGTGTTAGTCTATTATAATAATAGTTCTTTTATAGTAGATGGACAAAAGAATTAGGTGTTGGGCTCACTTGCAAGTCTATTTTCTGGGGTCTTATACCCAATACAGGAATCACGCCTCACACGCCTTGAGGCGTGCGCCTCATTTGGTTGGTGCATGCAGCTCCCAAAAATGCAATGAAAATAGTGCCTCAAATTGAGGCGCATTTCAGTACTGCCTTTTAAACCACGCAGCTATGATCTCGAGCTCCACTTCTTTGAGAAAGCTGGACTTCAACGCTCGACTTGAGGTCATTAGAACTCTGGTATTAATGTAGTTTGGGAGCTCTACTCAACTATATAAACCAAGAACTTCATTCAAGCTAGAATCTGAGCATCAGATTGGTGTCGTACTCAATGTAATTCAGTTTTGTGCCGTTATCCGAGCTGAGCTTGAGTAACATGGGAGTAACTTTGCTCATCTCTACACATTGTCCAAAATTGTTGGTGTTGTTTGCAATAGACACGTCAACCGGACTTAAAATGGTCACCATTGTTTGTCAACCAGCCTTATTCATCAACCTAAAACTAAATTGGGACACAGAAAAACAGTGGTCCCCCATAAGGTTTCCGTACTCTATTTTAGATGCATGAAGTTCAAAATACAAAAACCCATTTTAATATATGAAGTTCCCCTTAAGAGACCTGCTAGTTTCCTGGACCACATAAAATAATTTTTTAAGCTTCACCTGGTTAATGATCTGCTTCCCTCTGATATGTAGGTATTATGCCAGTGTTATTCATCATTTATGTAGATAACCACCCCGGTTGCCTATACAACCTGTATCAAAAATTTCGGTGGATAGTTGGTGGACTACAATTATATATCCATTAAAGCTGGGAATGATGATAAGATCTGTGATGCTCGGACTCGTTGAAATGGCTGGAGTACCTGTGTCGACATGACATAACACAGGTATTGGTATGAAATACGGGGCAGGTTCTTCACTTTTCAAGTTGACACGGCAGCGTTTGGACGTGGGATGGAGGCGAAAACAGGCAGCGCGAAGAAGGTGACTGGAAGAAGCAAAACAGGCGCAACAGGAAGAAGATGATCTGGAGAAGACGAAGGGATTTATGGATGTGGGATGGAAGTAGAACAGGTGTAACAGGAAGAAACAATTGGAGAAGACGAGAGGATTTATGGCCCAAGTTAGGTTTTGTATGTAATGATGGGTTAATTATATGGGATGGGTTCGGTTAAAATAATTTTAGATAAGTGGACTTTGGTTATATGGGCCAATATTCTTGGGCTACAATAACTTTTGTATTTAGGACTGTTGGGTATATGTATTTGTAATTGATATGTAATTGGGACTGTTTGGACTTGATTTATTTGGTTGGGGTGCGATGATTTATTTGCCACTTAATCATTATTTAAGAATTTTTGAAAAAAGAAAAAAAAAATTGAATTGAAAAACATATTCACGTACATGGATCCAAAATTTGGACTCTTTTTAGCCATGTCTCCGTATCCTACGTTTTAGAAAATAAAAGATCCGACACTTAGATACGTTCTCATACCCCAATCCGAGCATTATAGGCTAAGATGCTCACGTTCACGGGGATGCCAATAGAGAACTGAGCAGTAGAATAAGATGATCTCTGATTTTATATCTCCAAATTGTATGTTCCGCAGTGCGTAAAGAGACATGCAAGCTCAATTTTTTTTTTTCAAGTTTAAGATGTATCTCTAGTATCATAAAATTAGATCAGTTTTCTAAGATGTTTAGAATTCGTGAAAGGTCAGCTGTGTGAACAAGTAAAGAAGATATAACAGAAGGTAGGAGAAAATGGAAATACCAAAGAGAATAGGGAAAAAAAGCTCATCCAGTCCAAATTGAATATCTTTGTTCGACTCAGCACAGGTCCCTGTATAGTTCTCCAATTTACCTTGATGGATGATATAAAGTGATACATGAGGCCTTGCTGTTTTAGTTTAAAATTGCTGACAACCATAAGGTGGGATCATTTTGGTAAAGTTAATTTGGAGAAGTATAACGATCATTTTAGATAGAGGACACTAAGTCACGATATCCCAAAAATTCCTGAAGACATTCGATCGAGGATGGGGGTATAGAGTTCAATAAGAATAAGCAAAACGAATTTGCTGATATGCGGAATTGGGATATCAAAATGATTGCCTTGCACATATTCGAGATAACAATTGCTAACTTGATTTGAAGACATAAGTGCATTTAAGAGGAGATCCAAAGTTGAGAGCAGATGTAAATGCTGATTATTTGACTTGATATATTCGGTATGAGGGGGTATTTGTTGGAGTTCTTTTATTTTTAAAGAGTCAACCAATCTGTGGGAATTTATGCTAAAGGGCCAGAACTAGAATGAGTCCTCTGGGTATACTTGGGTAAGAGTAACATTTAGAATTATCTTACGCGTGCTCAGGAAACTGTCTTTGTCATGCATATTATTTTGAAAGCCTCCTTTAGGAACCTTCATTTTTTAAATAAGAATGCAACTATTCTGCTGGAGTATTCATTTTTATTTATGGTCTGATGGAGTTCACTTCTGCATGCTTGCTTATTTCTTGCAACACGTTTTTCTTGCATGCTTCCATCGTTGCCTTTTCCTGCTTATTGTTCCTGCCATATATTTTGTCAACCTTCTTGTGGATGGTGGTCCTCTTATGTATGTGCTCGCTTCTATGATTTTCATAGCTGTTACTTTTACATTTTGCTGAGCCTATAATTCGTTACACTTTAGTTTAGCTGAAGCACTTGACATGCGACCTCCTGTGATGCCTGAGGATGATCATACAACCAGAGTCACGTCAGGGGAGGATGTTTCGTCTCCTGGTGTTGGCAAAGGTACTTCTTATCTGGAAGCCTTGTGGGATGATGAAGATACTAGAGCTTTCTAGGAGTGCCTGCCAGATGTCAGGTTTAACTTTGGCTGAACCAACTTTTATGGTTGATCCTTGAAATAAATGAGTTAGATTGATTATATATTTTTTCTTTATAGAGCATTTGTCCCAGCTGTGTTGTTGGGCGAGGCGGAACCAAAGTTCAATAAGCAATCTCCAAAGACGCAAGAACAATCTAGTGTAAGACATAAACCTTGCTCTTAAGCATCTCATATTGTTTTGATTGAACTCCAAATAGATTTTCGAAACTCCCATCTTCTGGCTTATTTTCCTAAATTAACTTTTGACAGTGTCTTCTCGAAAGATATTTTATTCCGAAAGTAAGCCACAATATATGCCACTATGAGTTATTGCTAATAACTCAGCATGCCAGGAACTCCTGTAATTGGTTCCTGAGACTTTAAAGGTTAGAAATATGATCTTTTAGTTTATCGCCTTTTTTGAACCAAGGATTTTCCTTTGGTTTTGAGGAGAGGGGGGTTGGGGGGAACCTGCAGTTTTAAGGGCCTTTTCCAAAAAGCCAAATGAAAGTGCAAATTAAAAATAAGGAACATTTCGATAATGAATGTCTTTTCATAATTTGTGTCTACAATTTGAGATTGTCACTACACGCTGTGCAGGGTAAGCTTGTAATTGTGTTGTACTTGATGCGGTGCATTTTACCCATATGGGTGGACATTATATTGCAAGCTATGTTCTCAGTTGAGTTACTGAAAAATGCTTCTTGATGTAATAATATAGAGTGAGCCCATAAGCATATGTTGCATTCATAATATTCACCTCGGTTCAGGATGATGCTTTACTTTTTCATAGATATGTATCTCTATTCACTAACATGGAAATTTCTATACAAAGGATCTTAATCCTGAATCAGGTCAGATAGCTACTGAAGAAACTATAGAGGTTTCTGCTGATTCTGGGGCTTTATGGGAGGATAAAGATGGGAAAGCGAAGGATAAGGAAGAAAAAGACAGAGAGGACCAAAGAGCCTGACAGAGAGAAGGGAAAAGAAAAAGATGCTGAAAGAAGAGGAGAAAATGAAAAGGACAAAGTTAAAGGTCTTGAAGGAACAAATATTGACGCTTTGCTACAGAGGCTCCCAAGCTGTGTAAGCTGTGACTTGATAGATCAATTGACTGTAACCATCCTTCTTGTTCAAGCTTTCACGTAAATTTATTTTTCATTTGTAGTATACATCTTTAGTTGAAGCTCTTATTATTCGAATGCTAATTTTTCAGGTAGAGTTTTGCTATTTAAACTCGAAGGCCAACAGGAAAAAGCTTGTTAGGGCTTTGTTCAATGTCCCTAGGACATCTCTTGAGTTGTTGCCGTACTACTCACGAATGGTCGCAACACTGTCAACTTGTATGAAGGATATCTCTTCCATGCTTTTACAGCTGTTGGAGGAAGAGTTCAACTTTTTGATAAATAAGAAGGTTAATAGAGCCCTTTAACATTTACTACTATGTTGATTCTTGATTTCTTGTCAGTCACGGTCTATTTGTTATTTGATTGTAGGATCAAATGAACATTGAAACAAAGATCAGGAACATACGGTTTATTGGAGAACTTTGCAAGTTTAAAATTGCATCAGCTGGCCTTGTTTTCAGTTGTCTGAAGGTGTGATAACACGAGTATGTGATAAATTTTGCCAGATTACTGTTCCTGAAATTTTGTGGGGTGGTTGTCTCTCTCTATCCCATGCACACACAACATACACAATTTACTCATTTTAAATCATCTGAGCCTGTTATCATAACCGGTCATCCCCTCCCTCTAGGGACCCACACATTCACACATTGTCCAGGGACGCTTATTTCCATCACTATAGTGTATATAGGGCATTCTGAGTGAATTTTGTGCTGCATGGTCGACATCAGTGAGGGGATTATTCTTCTTCTCTATTGTCCTGAACTAGATACATAATTGGGAAATGACTATTTGATTCCTTACTGACTGGACTTGTTTCACTTATGTCAGGCTTATTTAGATGATTTTACTCATCATAATATTGATTTGCTTGCAATCTTCTTAAGACGTGTGGTCGCTTCCTCTATCGGTCTCCTGAGACTGCTGTACGCATGTCTAACATGTTAGAGATATTGATGCGCTTGAAAAATGTCAAAAATTTGGATCCTCGTCAGAGCACTTTAGTGGAGAATGCTTATTACTTGTGCAAACCACCAGAAAGATCAGCCCGGGTCTCCAAAGTTTGTCCACCACTGCATCAGGTAGTCATGCTCTTTGGATCAGTGACTTTTCTGTACAATCTGACTGAATAGACGTGTTAACCTTCTCTATGGTGAATTTTGCAGTACATTAGGAAACTAATTTTTTCGGATCTTGACGAGTCTACGATTGAGCATATGCTGAGACAGTTACGTAAACTACCATGGACTGAATGTGAACCGTACATTTTGAAGTGTTTCTTGAAGGTTCATAAGGGAAAATATGGTCAGATTCATTTGATTGCGTCTCTCACTGCTGGTCTGAGTCGCTATCATGATGATTTTGCAGTAGCTGTTGTTGATGAGGTTTGTTCTCCAGTACCTGAATTTGTTGTTTGAACTTCTGCTACTTTAGCTCATAATGTTTCTTTGAATGAAACAATAGAAATGGAAGAAAATGGTAGAAAAGAGAAGAATAGTATTCTCCCTGTTTCTTTTACGTGTAATCTGCTTTCTCCATTTTATGAGATATTTGTCATTTTCTCCATCTTTATAACTGTAGCAATCTTCTAGCTAGCTGTGTTTGTGGTCTTTCTCCTTCTTCTGAGTTGCACAGGCAAGCTTTTATGCTCAAAAGAGATACAATACAGCCTCTAGTGCCGCAGCTACAGATTTATGTATTACGGGAGTACCTTTCCCAGTACTACTCCATTGGTCTTCATTCTTGATTCACATTATTTAACAGTAGATTAGATAATGCAAGATATGCTAGAGTTACCTTGGACCTGAAAGCATTATTTCCAGGTTCTATTTAGAATTTAAAACCTTAAATAGGTGGTCGTAGATTATTTGTTGGCGGGTTTCTAAATATCTACCAGCTTGAAGGGTCAGATGAGCACCTTCGGATTGGAAACGTGATGCTGCAATTTTTAATGCATTTTTTTAAACCTATGTAACTGTTCATTATATTCAAGGAGTGAAGGTTATGCTAAACTAAATTGTTGGACCTGATTTCGAATAATTTCAGATTTTACCATATGTTTATTTTAGGTTCAAAATTAATGAATGGAGTTCAGTTGCACGAGTTATTGAATTTTTATTTTTATTATTTTTATTTTTTGTTTTTTAATTATTTGCAATTATGGAAGCTTGAAGCACCTTTGTTATCGTCCACAGATCAAGAACTTTGTAGTTTAGTATTCCATTTTTAGTTACTATACTAAAAGCTTTTTAGCATTTTCTTACTTGTATCGACTTTATTCTGTACTATTTTTGGTCATTTGTTGTGATGTAAATCTTTTCCACTGATAGAAGTCTTAAAATTTTATGCATTCTTTCCAGTAAGTTTTTTACAAGGATGATTGTCGTGGTTTCTTGCACGTTTGACTATTATGCTAGAAACAGGAAAAAAAAAGTTTATTCTCGACTTGAATTTGTATTTGAATGTATGAGTTACATTTTCTTTCAGGTTTTGGAAGAAATCAGGCTAGGATTAGAGTTGAATGACTATGGTATGCAGCAACAGCGCATTGCCCCTATGCGTTTCTTGGGGGAATTATACAACAATGAGCTTGTCGATTCATCTGTCATTTTTGATACACTCTATTTGATTCTTGTTTTTAGCCATGGGACTGCAGAGGTATGGATTTATTACCTGAAATTTTTAAATTACATCCTAGAAATTTGAATTTTTCCTGTTTTGGCTCGCTTGATTCATACGAACTCTACCTGGCTCTTTTTCCCCCTTTTTTGCTTGGAAATGATATGATCGTGAAGTGTCCAGTACCTTGTTCTCTACACCACATGCCCTTGCTCAATTCCACCAAACGAACACTACCCTGACTAGAATGAATTCCCCTTGCAGGAAACTCATTCTCATAGCCTCTGTGATACTCATGGTGGGTTTTGGCTCAATCTTCTGATTTACATTGTTATTTCCATTCCTTGGTAGAATTTCTTTATGCATCTAATTGGGGGAGGGTGCTGTTGGTTGGTTTGGTGGCTAAATCTATTGAGGTTTTGTTGGGTGGCAGGGTTGATGGCTGGATTGAAATTCCCCAAGTTGTAATTTTTCTACTGATTTTGCCCCTGTTTGGCAACCATTCTTTCGGAACTCTTTTTTTGCATGTCATTTTCAACCACACATTCTTACAACAAAATATTCTTTACGTAAACTCAAAACTTTTTTCTACTTTTTAACCACGCATTCTCCAAAAATTTACTGTTCAAAAACTCGTTCTACGCAAAAATGGCTGTCAAACAGGGGCTTTATCTTATGATTTTTAGAGCTTCTTATAGTAGACTTGTAATGAGTTTCGTCCAAATTGTTCTGCCAAATTGAATACCCCCAAAGTAGTTTAGTGAATTTGATGCTTTGGTGTCAGTCCTCTTGATTGAACTTGAAAATGCAGTGCTGAGTTGAAGTCCAAATTTTGTTTTACCGTTATTGTCATGTTACACTCTATAAAGAGACTTTAGTTATAAGCTAATGTCTGATCCAGTACTTTGATTTGATGCTATTAGCAAGATACATTGGATCCACCAGAAGACTGTTTTCGCATCAGGATGGTTATCATACTTCTAGAGACTTGTGGGCATTATTTTGATAGAGGTTCGTCGAAGAGAAAACTCGATCGGTTCTTAATTCATTTCCAAAGATACATATTAAGCAAATGTGCACTGCCACTGGATATTTAGTTTGATTTGCAGGTTTGTGTTCAATTTTTAGTTCCTTTATTTTGTTTTTTCTGTTTGTGAGTTAAGTATTTAAACCTGGCTTACCCACAAGTTTGGGTTTTTTAAATCTACTTGTAAAGAAACGAACATGCAACCAGAAAGTTTCGGATTTCAACAGAGCTATTGATGAATAAACATGTAAATTTTTTGCTTTGTATTGGTTTTTGATTTAAATGATGTTTTTTTTTTTTAAAATAAACTTACTGTAACCTGTCTAATTATCCATTTATCCTCTTCATCCTTTGGTGGCATAAAATATAAACCAAAATTCAACTAGATGGTCTGCTTTTGCCTTTTATGAACACCAAAGCTTATAGTATGAGAACTTCTATTTAATATTTGTATATAATGACACAAATGGTAAAGCGTAAATTATCTTGATGTCATGTGTGTAAATATAGGTATAGCAGTTGTGGCTAATCAAAAGACTGATTGAAATTGAAGCATGAAACTGCGTCGTGGTATTTGTTAAATAAGACAGGTTTCATTGATTAGCAATCTGTTCCAATATGAGTATGATTTTGAGAAAGATATGGTCTGCTCTGGCTTAGCATAGATGAAATAGTTATTTAAATGCTTTGTGGCTAGTGAAAATAGTAAGGATACTTTCTGCAGTGGTAATAGAAACGCTTATGTTTGTGATAGAACTTAGATTGCTTAGTATCTGCTCCCCTTTCCTTCAACAATTCTATTAGGAGATATATATACAACTTTTGCATAATTTCTTATGCATACTGTATGAGAATTTTGGAGTTTGGCTATAGCCTATCGTTTCTCTTGCAATCTCAATTAATCTGAAAGCAAATGGCTTGGAATTTTTTAATTTTGATAGCAAATGATCTAGATTACCTTATTGATTACAACAGTTTCTTTTCTTTTTATGTTTTTCTACAATATAACCATTATTGAGCTGAACTTGTGAATTGAGACAGGACTTATTTGCTGAATTGCGCCCCAACATGATTCGATATTTGTCAGTTGAAGAAGTTAATGCTGCACTAATTGAACTTGAAGAACATGAACGTAGAATTTCATTTGAGAAGGCTCACAACAATAAGCGTATAGACACTGAATTGCGCCCCAACATGATTCGATATTTGTCAGTCGAAGAAGTTAATGCTGCACTAATTGAACTTGAAGAACATGAACGTAGAATTTCATTTGAGAAGGCTCACAACAATAAGCGTATAGACACAGAAAAGCCTCCTAGAAGGACTCCATCTGGTGCTTTATCTGTGAATGGACAAATCCTTGAGAATGGCGCAGAGGAAAATGGAGAATTGCATGAAGAGTTTGCTGTGGAGACTGACAGTGATTCTGGGAGTGGCACCATTGAACACGTTGATAATGACAATGACGAGTCAGATGAAGATAATCGTGATGAGGGTGAAAGTGACGGTGATTATGAAGATGAAGGTGAACCTGCTTCTGATGAAAATGATGAAGTGAAGGTCAGGCAGAAGGTGGCAGAAGTGGACCCTCAGGAGGTGGCTGACTTCGATCGAGAACTTCGTGCTCTAATGCAGGCTAGTGGTATAGGAACTCTGTTAAGTTTCTAAAATTTGTGGATTAACCACTCCCTTTTCACTTTATGAATAGAACCCTTGGTCAAACCATAAAATATGCTGCATTGCATACAGAAAGATAAAATATGTGCAACATTTTTCCCTTTATCTTTCCCGTTGGAGTGAAGAATTTACTCGAAACATGGAGGATTAACGGACACTGTTTTATTTGTTCAGTTTGAGTAATGCACCCAAGACATCATAGTATTAATTGTCGTGGTTTATTAATACAAGTGATAAAATGTTGAAAGGGTTATGATTTGAAGTAATGTGGATCGTTCGATGAGTGCAGGAGAGTTTGGATTCTCGAAAATTGGAGCTGCGTTCACGGCCAACATTAAACATGATGATACCAATGAATGTGTTTGAGGGCCCCACCAAGGAACATTGTGGGAGGGGGCGAAGGAGAAAGTGTTGATGACGCTACGGATGAAGGGGCTGGAGGTACGAAGGACGTTCGGGTGAAGGTCCTTGTGAAGCGGGGGAACAAACATCAAACAATAGCAAATGCAAGTTCCTCGGGATTGTGTCCTGGTACAGAGCACAAAGCAGAAAGAAGCAGCTGAGCTTGAAGAAAAACAAGATATCAAGAGGCTTGTCTTAGAGTATAATGATAGAGAGGAGGAGGAACTCAATTGGAGGGACCCAACCACCTGGGTGGACACTAAGTGGTGGAGGCAGAGTTGTGAACCGTGGCCACACGTGGGAAGGACATGGTCAAACTTCTGGATCGCGTCACAGGCATTTATATCATTCCGGTGGTGGGCATTATTATGGTAGAAGAAAGTGAAACTCGATTGACATTTTCTAAGTTCTAGATATCAATTATTGCAGATGTTCCCTCACTACTCTAGCAACATGATACATACTTCTGACCACAACCAAGATAGCGCTACCATGGTTATGGGGCTTTTTCTTTTTTTGGCCGAGGGTGATGCTCAGGTTTTACAGCACAAGGATGAGTGTCTATACATGCTAATAGGGTCTGGTTTCCATTCATTGTTGCTTTTGCGACGTAGCTATCTGAAGGAAAGGTATGAATCCGAATACTTGCTAGCATGCTAGCATTATTGTGTCGATTACTTCTAGAGTCTGGGTTTTATACCTATTATTCGTATAGCCTTTTGAGTTTACAAGAATGGATCTTAGGCCCCCTTTGATTGCGAAGGAGGAAAAGGAAAAGGAATTCCACCTAAGTTGGAAAACAAAAAATCACCATACCTATACAAATTCGTTTTCCATGGAATTGGCAAAAAATGTGCTTTAAACGGTTGTATATAAGAATTCGAATTCCATTTCTACATGCGAATCAAACAGTCAAAGTGAAAATTATTTTCGTCAAAGTGAAAATTATTTTCCTTGGATATGACATTTTTCATGAAAAATGTTGCAATCAAACAGGACGTTGTGTAAATTTGTGATGGACTCTTTTGTATTAAGGAATACAGTGAATTTGGTCAACTTGAAACTGCTCTTTTTGGGATGGTTAAGAATGGTTAAAGTTGGGTTTTTACTTAAAATGTAAATTTTAGCTGATTTTTAGAAAGTAACTCTTCCGTTTTTAGAAAGTTAATTTGATAGAATATGGACAGTTTTTGTCAGTGTGATGTGACCGCTCTGTTAAGAAATCCATGAGCTTGATAGAAAAGGCCCGTGTAGCTCGACCCGGCCCAAATTAAAAACCACGTGAGTAAATGGCAAAGAAAGGGCATTTTTGATAATATAACAAAAGGCATGGGTAAAGTAGAGAAAGATATTGGTACGAAGGGAGCAGAAGAGGCCACGTCTCCTTACAGCATTAAAACCTCGTACCCCTGCCGACAACTACACCCTGTTCTTATCTAATTCACATGTTATTTAATTATTTTTTGTATGATTTTTTATTATAATATAATAAAACCTATACATACAAGATATACAGATGAGATAGAAAATCTTTTAATCATTTAACCAGTGGGTGGCAGGAATAAAGAAATGTGAGCCACTTGGTGCTGCCCAGTTCAACAACATGAGATAACATAAACAATTGTCATGCCTTTTTGAGGATTTCATTTCATGTCATCTTTAAGGAATTTCTAAATTTGTAGTTTATTTTATTTCTTCTTTTGGCAATATTCCCTGAGAATTTCTACATTCATTTCATTTCGATCAACCTGTATCGTCAAATTGAGCATAAATAAAGAGAGAGACGATGTACAAGTAAGAATATACCCTGAACTTGATTTATTCGCCCATCCATTTATCACAACGTGTTCAAGTGAGTAATTAAGGTAGTGGTTGGTTTACATTTTCATTTTCAAAACGATTTTTAGTTTTCCCCAAAAAGATCCGTTTTTCGTGTTTTGAGCGTTTTCGACATTTATAGCTGAAAACGATCAAAAGTCGTTTTGCATTTTCAGTTATAAATTTTAATTCGTTTTCAAAATGCGTTTTCGAAAACGACGGACCAAACTCGTTTTCCGCTTTTTCAAAAACGGAAAATGGGCCGAAAATGGCAAACCAACCATGGCCTAAATCTTCGAAATGCAAGAACTATCAAACTAGAAAGTCATTCCTGTGTGCGCCACAATAAATTCTTATGTAGACTTGTGATGCAATTTGAGTAGATTTTAATAAACCCGTGTTAGATACCCATTTTTTTTGGTGGGGGAAATACATTTTAGAACAGTGTATTTTTGACAATGTGTGATTAAGAAATAAAGAAATACTATGAATTTACGTATAAAATTAATTTTATGAAAATATGTAGTTGAAAATTAGTTCTTTTAAAAAATAAGTTTTGAAAAAAAAATGAGGGTCAAAAAGAAGTTAAAATATAGCAAAGTGGCAAATTAATTTAAAAATATATTTTTTAATAATTAACTAAATAAGTGGGTTGCCCCTGTCACATTCAAATCAGCGCGAGGTCTTGAATCCTGTTTGGTTTATAATAAAATTTGATTTTAACCTAAGTTAAAGTCAAATAATCAATATTAATTGTATTTTTTATGGGTTTCATAACTTTTCAACCACACATGTCAAAAACTTTTATTACAATTTATTAAAAAAATTAATTTTAATTTCCATCGAACAAACGGCAAAAGGTTGAAAAGAAATTTTCCAGTTTGCCCCCATAGTATTGTGGCGGCCGAACGTATCTTATCCGCATAAAGTGTTGAATTCCACGTTTACACTCACAATTGGTTGCAAGTTGATTACCTGATTGTGAAATTCTTGTCCCTCTTTTCGCATATAGAAATATAATTATAATAAACCAAAATATATTTTTTAATTACAAGTTGATTGAACTAATCATTTCTTGAAAAAGAGCTCAATCTTTTATCTTATTTGCCCGGAGATAATAATTCAAATGATCACTGAATTTTACAAAAAACAAAAAAATTTCTAGTAATCACTAATTCAGTGATCTCCAAGGAAATTTTTTGCAAAGTTTAATGATCCTGTGAAAACTTTTATTAGGAATGTACTTATAGTGGGATAAATATATAAAATTTGTATGGATCTATAATATTTAAATGAATGAATTTAATAAGGACAATATTCAAATTTGATGTGGATGAAAATAGTAATTTTTAAAATTTTATAATTTTAATAATGATGTATATAGACTGGAATGCATATATAAAAATTGTGAATGCAAATAACGGTACCCTTTATTTATTATGAGTGACCTTTTGTGGAAGGAGAGGGCAAGTGAGAATATTGACGGTCCAGATTTGTTAATCAAATCATCTTTTTAGAGATGGGTGTTGTTCTGTCTGTTTAGTTAAGTGACAACTCCTCTTTCTTTGTTTCTCTCCCCATTAAGGTATCTCTCGCTTTGATCTTTACTTAATTAGCTGGTGTACATTTCAATGCTTACACCTTCTTTGTTGTAAAAAATTGATTGGTTGTGGAAGGAGAGGGCAAGTGAGAATATTGACGGTCCAGATTTGTTAATCAAATCATCTTTTTAGAGATGGGTGTTGTTCTGTCTATTTAGTTAAGTGACAACTCCTCTTTCTTTGTTTCTCTCCCCATTAAGGTATCTCTCGCTTTGATCTTTACTTAATTAGCTGGTGTACATTTCAATGCTTACACCTTCTTTGTTGTAAAAAATTGATTGGTCGAAAAACCCTTTTTTTTTAATTGTTAGATTATAGTTTATCACGTGACAAATTGTAAATCAGAGTATAGACGAATGTAATTAATTATATAGATATTATAGAGATAGAAGATAGAATTTTTGGTTGTTGTCATTTCATTTATGCCTAAACTATGATAGAATAATTCCATCGACTCAAGTTCTAAACTTGACATCATGCATGATGTTTTCTAAGAATATTTTGTCACTCGAATTTTGCGTCCTCGTATAATTTACGGGGAAAATTATGACAGTTCACAACGTTATTTCAGATTTCGTGATTTTAAAATAATATCAACTTTGAAATTATTCTTATGCAATTTCGTCTTTACATGTTGGATCAAGCGATTTGATTGTTTTACCCTTTAATTCGAGTCATGTGAAAACTGTGTGCAATTTTAACGCTTGTATTTACAATTTTCATCAGATGGACACTAAAATTCACATATTTACACATGTTAAGAGACTCAAAATATTACTTTTTTAAAGTTGAAGAACCACAACCAGACTTGCTAATTGAAAGCTTGAAATGTCCCGTCCTAATTTTTCTTATTCCCAGAAAATCCTTGTCCACGATTATTAGGTTTGACCCACCCACATATATCTGGTTAAATTATTTCCTTAATCATTCTAATAGTAGTAAAAAAATTATATTTATTTATCCCCCATATAAACCCCATTTTTAATAAATAATGATTTTGTAATAATAATTTTTTAAATATTTTGTGGTTAAAAAGTAAAAAATAAATAAATTGAATTTACGTGTATATTATTTTATTGGAAGAATGTGTGGTCGAAAATGAATTTGACTAAAAATGTATTTTTAGATAAGGTCATAAGGGGGCTCAAACAGGGGCTAAACTTTGATTCAAAGATGATTTGGTACCTTTTTAAAAATATAAATTATTGATCGTACACTTTCGAATCTTAACAATGTAAAGGAGTAGGACTAATCAAGTAATAGTTTCTTTATTATAATATGCAAGAATTTGAGGATCGAACCCTACTATCATTTTTTTTCGCAACTTTTTAGATAACTCGAAGGAATGAATCGGTTAGACTGAACTACATTTCGATTTCTTTATCGAATCAATCGTCCAATCCTTTCCTAGTTTAACAACTATTCGCTAACCTTTGATATTAAAACATTAACGATAGTCAATCTATACGTATAGCAAATCTTATGATAAGATATAACGAGTCACACAATAACATGAGTAAAGTGAAAAAGAAAAATTTACAATGTTCTAGTCAACTTCATAATCTTTACTAAGAATTCGAAACCTAAATCGATTATCATAAGATCAATAGTATTTTTTTTCATTGTTTGTTATATTATAAACATTTAATGACCTAGATTAGTTGATGTCATCCATGATGTTTTCTTGACAATGAATTTTTTGCTTAAAGAATGTCCAAGTATAAAAAAATACGATTCTACATGATGAACAAGTCTGTATAAATTTAAAAAGCAACTAGTAAACAAATTGATTTATTTATCCTTAGCTATGTTTGCACTGCATACATTTCAACTAAGGTTTTATGTCTTTCACTCGTTCGTAGGGACGGATTTAGTATTTGATTAAAAATATTTAAATCCGGGCTAATAGTGAAAGACATAAGACCTCAGTGGAAAGGGACATTGTATGTGGTTAATGTGATTGTTTGATTTGCAAATGTACACACCAGACGCACGACTTTGGGTCATCTTGAGTTGCCCAAAAAAGCACAAAAGTACAACCACCTTGATCATCCATGAATGTAATGTGATTGTTTGATTTGCAAATGTACACACCAGACACACGACTTTGGGTCATCTTGAGTTGCCCAAAAAAGCACAAAAGTACAACCACCTTGATCATCCATGAATGTAATGTGATTGTTTGATTTGCAAATGTACACACCAGACACACGACTTTGGGTCATCTTGAGTTGCCCAAAAAAGCACAAAAGTACAACCACCTTGATCATCCTTGTACATTCATGCTTACCTTTTCACATAATAATGGTGCCGTTTCATACCATGTATTCATTATTTCTTTTTCACACTTCACCCCCCTTGAGTTTGTTCTCTTGTAAAGTTTTCATAATAACTTTAAAAAATGAAAATGAAAATTCTATTTATTATATTATTCATTCTCATCTAATTTTGTATATCAATATCGGAATTTCATAATTCTGAGGGATGTTTTCTTGACGATAGAAAAATATTAAATCCTGTTTGGTTTAGATAAAACTAAGATTTTTAATACATTTTGATAAAAATTGTTGAAATATATGATTGAAAAGTGCGGATCTCATAAAATGTGTATTATAAGTTAAATATTGACTTTGAATTGAACTTTAATCCACTTTTTTAGTGGAATCAGATAGGTGCTAAATTTACAAATGAGTAAAAAGGTGAGTATATAATTAAATTACTTATTTTGACATGGCGATAATAATTACTTTTGAAAGTAGTTTTTTTACTTAAATTATGCCTACACAATGATAATGTCATAAATATAAAGTTACGCTCAGACAAAAATATTATATTTTTCAATATTTATATATATTTTTAATATTGTGTAGCACCAATTTAAATGCAATATCAAAATTTAGAACAATACATTCTAATTCAAATCTTCTCTAATTTTATCCTCCGTCTATTTTTTTAATTCAATACTGTGTACCAAACAATTCAACTCAATGTGGACGGTAGGGTTTTATTGCTAAAGTCTGGTTAGACTTAGGGACCAGAAAATATTAATTAGCCATAAAATTGATAGGACAGGGTGGTCCTTCATAGAAAGAATACTACATTTTATCGTATGATTTTTTGAGATCCGGCTACGTTTGTAAATTGTTACATTTAATAAACGCGGTCCACGAGTGACCTGCCTAAATCTTTCTTTATTTTTTCTTTTGACATTTTTAGCAAGTTGCCTAGCTCTATTTATTGCACGTTTTAGAACATAATACTTTCCTTTCGAAATTTGCACTTAGGTACCTTTACAAAGTACCTATAAATATAATAACGACGCATTTGGCTTGACTACATTGAAATTATCTTCGTAACAAGTTTCCTTTAATCTTATTCAAGCAGTCGAGTAAAACTTTCTGTTACATGAACTTAATTTGTTTGACACAATTAAGTAAATATAAAAATGTTGAGCTTTATGGCGACTTTTTTCATACCCTCACCATCCTATCGTTAACACGGTTATAGTGAACTTACATAGGGACGACATGTCTTTTTTCAATTGGTAGGACAACAAAATGGGACAGGGATTTAGGAACAATATATGTGAACTCCATCAACATTTATTGAAATGACTCTTATTTGATGGCAAAACATTAAGTTTCTTATTTACTAATAAGTAAATGGTAATTTATGTTGGGGTGTTAAGTGAGCAAAGAGTAACGTTTTAAATTTCAGTGAGTAAGTAGTAATTTGTAACAAAATTCAATGACCATTGGTTAAATCAACTCCAAATTTCTCTTGCAAATTGCTCGTCAGCTGGATAAGTTATTTATTTACTAATAAGTAAATGGAGGTTAATGTAGGGGTATTAAGTAGAATGAGCTGCTCGTTGACTCGACTCGTGCCCGAAACGAATTGTGGTATGAAATGAACCACAAATTTCTCGTGCAAACAGCTGATCGGCTAGGTAAGTTATTTATTTACTAATAAGTAAATTGAGATTAATGTAGAATTATTAAGGAGGACGAGCTGCTCGTTGACTCGACCCGTGCCCGAAACGAATTGCAGGTATGAAATGAACAACAAATTTCTCGTGCAAACTGGTTGGTTAGGTTAATGTCGAAGGTATGGTGAACTATGCAAGTTGAGTTTGCAGTAACCACCATAGATGCTTTCTCCCTCACACATAGTTCACACACTCTGTGTGTTTGTTATTACTTAAAATATACTCTCTCTCTATTTCTCTCTGTCTACATTTGTACGCTACTCTGCTATTTTCCACCTCCGTCAAAACGCAGCACCACTGAACTTCTTTCTCACTCTTCTTCTGTTACACACGAGAATCTAAACTTTGCTACTCAGAATATGTACATACATATTATGTATATGTATACATAACCCATCTCTCTGTTTATCGATTTTTGGGTGTGGGTTTATATACACATACCCGCTTGTGTATATATCTTTGATCCTTCATAGTTTCTCTCCCTACCTTCATGATTGGGTTCTGTCATTTACAGTAAAAGGTTCATACAGAAACACAAAGTAGATAGATAGAGAGAGAGAGAGAGAGAGGAAATGTTGGATCTGAATATTGAGGCAGTATCAGTTGATTCCAGCAAGTGGGAGGATGAAACTGATTACCACCGGAAAATGGGCATAACTCCGATCATCGCCGTCGCAGAAGGTGATTCTTTAACTTCCACCACCACCTCAGCAACTAACAATGCTGTCGAGGCCGACGAACAAGATACCAACAGCTCCACCCGCAGGAACTCCCTCTCAACGCTAAATTTCTCTATCCTTAAAACAAACATCATAGAAATTTCTGATGATCAAAATAATGACGATAAAAAAAGCAGTAGCGAGTTACAGCTTTTTCCGACGAGCGCGAATGATGCAGCTTCGCCATCGGCGGCTTCCATGGCAAAATTCTGGTTGAATTTATCGGTGCCGGAGGTTCCGGGGGAATTGGGAAATCACAAGGCCCTGCGTCAGCAGCCACCGGCGGTGAAGAAGAGTAGGCGTGGACCCAGGTCTCGGAGCTCCCAGTATCGGGGAGTCACCTTCTACCGGAGAACTGGAAGATGGGAATCTCATATCTGGTCTGTATGCATACACATACATACACTATACATTGAATCCCCCACCCCAAACCCCTCACCCAAACACACATGTATGTATATATTCATATCTATACATATTCATATGTCTCTATCTGTGTGTGATGTATCATGAAAATGGCTTATTATTTTATTTGATTTTGAAGAATCACAGAAGAATAATGAATTAATTGTACATAAAGTGTTTTTGTACTTGAGCTTCAGTATTTGTACCTTGGTCAGATTGCGGTATGATTTCCATTTTTAGAACAAATTACATGCTTGCAAGTACATAATATTCTTGTTTATTAGGATTTTAAGATTAGGTACAAATGATGTTTATGTTATTTTATACATAAAGTTCTTCAATAATTAATTCCTAAACAGCACATTCTTTTAAAAAAATTAATCAGTTTGTAACATTAATTACTAGAATGGGCTTTTAAATTTGAAAAATTATATGGAATCTAAGGGATTCACATTGTAATCAGACAACAAATTGCATGCAAGTGATTTGAGTTCGAGAGTGCTTAAAAATTTCACATTACATATTCAGACAGCACAATTTTCAGTGGATGGAACCATCCACATAAATATGGTTAAAATCATTAACTAAAGCTCACTGCTCACAATTCCATAAATTTGTTTTGGTGTTGGATGAAGATGCTTTTCTTTGCATTTGACATGCATTATGTTTGGTTTTGTTTTTATTGTTTCCTTGGCTGCGAAGTGTGAAACTAATTGATAAGATCCTTTCTGTTCAACAAAGGACTAAGATACTAAAAATGTAATAGCTATGATAGTATCATTGTTTGTGTAACACCTTAAGCTGCAAAATTAACTTTTCAAAAATTTATAATCTACTGCCTCTTCCATTGTTAGATTGTCGACTGTGTATGCCCCTCTGAGATGTGTATTAGCATGTCTATGTATCTACGAGTGTGTGGATGAATTTTGGTACTTGGACATTCATATCCAATCATTAATATTTAAGCAATGAATGTATCTACTCTTATTAGATAGAATGATAAGTCTGTTCCTCTTACATCATAACCTTAATTGTGCATTCTGTTTCTTGGCAGGGATTGCGGTAAACAAGTTTATTTAGGTATATAACTGAACAAAATTTTCCTATAATTTTAATAGTCCCTTGGTTCTTTTATGTTGTTGCTTTGAAGTTCAACAAGATGGATTGGTTCTGCAATAGTGTTGGAATCGTGAGGTATCTTCTAATAGTTAGTTTGGGTTGTTTTTTCAGGTGGATTTGACACAGCTCTTGCTGCAGCTAGGTAAGAATTTTAACATCAAGTATATTTCTGTGAAATCTAGCATTTTTAAGTTAGTCTTCTTAGAATTTCATTTGATAGTAACTCATTGATTTAGAGCATATGATCGAGCTGCCATCAAGTTTCGAGGAGTTGATGCTGATATTAATTTCAATATTAGTGATTATGACGTGGACATGGAACAGGTGGGAGGTTGCAGAATACCTTTTTGGTACCCGCTTGATTTTTTATCCATATTAATCTTCATTAGTTGATTTGCAGATAAAGAACTTGACGAAAGAGGAATTTATTCACACTCTTCGTCGCCAAAGCACTGGATTCGCTAGAGGAAGTTCAAAATACAGAGGAGTAACCCTGCACAAATGTGGTCGATGGGAGGCTCGGATGGGTCAATACCTTGGTAAAAAGTACGAATAATGTTAAAAAATTTCTTGGATTCTATAATAGCTAGAATTAACTAGCAGTAGTTTTATTCATTGTAACTGGTGATATGAAATCCACCATGTTCTTTTGAGTGCTTATCACTCGATGCTTTGTGGTTATGGACCACAAGATTAAGGCAGCTGTTACAATGACAACAAAATGCTTAGGGACTACATTTTACCTATAAGATTAATGCTTGGTTGCAGGTATACGTATCTTGGTTTATTCGACAGTGAAGTAGAAGCTGCAAGGTCCTTGTGATCATAATTCTCACTCAAACCAAATATATTTATTTGGGATTCATCCAACGAAGTTTCTCTTTATTTTCTGATCCAGGGCATATGACGAGGCTGCTATCAAATCCAGCGGGGGAGATGCTGTGACCAACTTTGAGCCTGGCATCTACGAGAAGGAGATAAATATGGCTGCCGGAGGTGGAGGTATAGGTGCAAATATAATCTATTTTCGTTCTTGCTTACTGTTCTCTCATTGGTTTTGCATATTTCTAAATTACCACCGGATAGCTAACTTGGGAGATTTGGATTTCTTGACTTTGGACTCAGTTAGTGGCAACAGTCTTGATCTCAACCTCGGAATTTCTTGCTCATCAGTTGGCGTACAAGGGAATGAGAACACCAGAAACGTGCACTTTCAGTATGGTTCTTGTGAATTGCGTGATGGAAAAAAAACAAAGGTACTTCTATCTTATAATTGAATTGTTTAAGATTAGTCCCGTTCTCATTACCGAGTTTTGCTTGCCAATTTCAAGATTTCTTTTAAATTCCATGGTCAGAAAAGCTGAAGGCCATGAGTTCTTAGACTTCCGAGCTATGATAGAGATTTGGCTTGTTTCGGATATTATTAAACTCATGCATCAGCTTTGATGGCTAATAAACAGATAAAGAATTTAGTAATACGCCTTATACTCTGGATGGTTAATACGCTCAAATCCTTCTTTAATTTTACAGGGCGAGAGCTCATCTAATGCACATGATCTAGCGACGGCACCCAAGTATGCTCCCTTGTGGACTGGGGTATATTCTGGTTTTACACTAAACAATAAGTTAATTGTTTGTTATTTTCTACCGCTCTAACCTGTTGAACTACAGGCAATTTCATCAAATTGAAGTATCACCTCAGCAGAAAGAATAAAATAAAATAAATCAAGACAATATAAATGGGGCATCTACAATTTTTTAAATTTTCATTTGGATGAAGGATTTCCTACTTTACTTTAGAAAATCAAGTTTTGCCTGCGCGGATCTGTGGAAGTACATTTCTCAGTTCATATCACGAGAAGGCTTGTGGTGTGTAAATTTTTAGTACCTTGCCGTTAGAAACTAAATTTTTTTCTTCCAAAGTAATTTTACCATCTTAATATCTTGTGGAACACCATCTAATGTGGCTCTGCGGTAACAAGTTGTGACATGAGTTAAATTTAGTTGCGTTCTTTTTTGTCCCCAGCATGCCTCAGTTTTGGATTCCATTGTCAAGCTGGCTTTTAAACGTAGCTTTAGTTGTGTGTAACCTCTTTTATGCTGGTTTATGAAAGATTACACAAGAAAAGCCATTGACTGAGGGACCCTAATGTAATAAACAGCAAGCCCTCAGCCTCACACCTTGCTGAAAGCTCTTGGTCTTGCTTCTTTTTCCTTTTGCACTTTCTCACTTTTATTCTCTATTTTGGATGTTAATCTTTTTCCATTTCATTGGGAATATTCCTAGGGTGATATCAATTAAGACACGAGTAGCTGAACTTAGTTTGATAATGTTAGCACGATGCTTGCCATTTCCACCCACCTCAAAAGTGAAGAAAATGGAGAAAAAGCTGTGCCAAAACATAAAAGACGTATGATTTTACATTAATACTAAAACATTGACAATTCTGTTTTCGGATTGGCAGGAAAGAGCTACAGGAATGAATACAGAAGCCAATGCTTTGCCCGTATTCTCAAATTGGCCGTGGAAAATGCAAAACATTGGTGTCATCACCCCCGTTCCATTGTTGTCTTCTGCAGCATCATCAGGATTCTCTTCGGTTACCATTCCTCCTTCAAACTCCGTTGAGTCATCAAACATCCCAACTACAATTTCATGCTACACCTTCCAGCGCCCTCCAACAACCCTCGACTACAAGTAGCGTTCAACCATCATCACACGTTCAGTAGGTTCTCTTTAGTCTGTTGAAACTCTGCTATCCAAGAAAGCCAATTTCAATCACTGTAATTTTTCTTCGATCATGCATATAGTACGACGCATAGATTGAAAACACTGGATGTGATTGTGATGTATAGATTTGATTGAAATCCATACACTACACACTGTGATATTTTTTTGCAATCTCTCTCTTGGGAAATCTGCATTTCTTTCTAAGAAAATTCTTAACTTCTATGAGATGTAGGAATGATTTCTAGCCGTGTATAAAACTGGCATATATCAAGATGCTATTTTGAATGGTGATGGATGTGCATGTGTATCAGCTAGCTTGTTCTTAGCATGAAAGAAAAGTAATTGCATCTCAGTATGCAAATTCAATTTTGCTGTCTGTGTTTTGATTTTCCAGTTCACAATTGCTTGTTATAAATAAATAGCCCCAGAAACCTTTTCAAGGTGCTGCCATGCCTTAACTTGAATTATATGTACTCTTTGAAAATAATTGTGCGAACGAGCAACGATAAAACTTGAACTCGGAACTTTAAATATAATTGTATTTCAAGAATAAAAAATGGCGGGATCCTTGTGAGTAACTGAAACACTGTCAAGAGGGCCATCGATATATATCAATAGGGGAAGGCGTTCAATTATAGTAATACCTTTCGTATTAAAAATAGACACACTTTTAGCCTGCAGTAAAATAAATCTCACATATTTCTTTTCTTGAATCTTATTGAATTGGGTACATTGCTAGACATGCTAACATAACAATCGATAAAATTTTTATTTTTTTTCTTCCTTTAATATTATCAATGCTATCTGAGATTATAATAAATTATAAGTTCATCAAACATGCTTTAAGAAGTCAAATTCAAATTGATTTAAAAACCAAAAAATGGGTTTACAAACATATTAATCTAAGCTAGTTTCTGTGTTTAATTCGTCTAAGTGCAAGCCTTATTATCTTAATACATAAGAATTCAACTCAAAATCTACACAAAACCAACCTATTCCATTCTATACATTCAATATTCATTTTTAGCCCAAAATTATATAGATGATATTTGAAGTTAGACTACTACTATTCATAATCGCTCACCACAATAGTCACTTTACATGACATACACATGGTATGGTATATATATATATAAACGATGATTACCATGGGAATAACATTATTTTTGAAGTTAATATAGGAACATTGGACATTGAAATTGCTCAACAAAGTCGTTGATATAGGAACTTTGGACATGGAAATCGGTCAACAAAGTCATATCCAGGCCCAAACCCATGAACAACTGAAAAGACATAAAGTCGGAATTGCTTTGAATGGCCGGTTGACCCATTTCAAAACTTTTTTTTGGCCTTTGACCAATTTTTTACAATTAAAAGAAAAGAAAAGAAAATTTCATTTTCTGTTTGCCTTTAATACGCTTATGCCCTATATGATTCAAACAGTCCAAAATTGAAATCAATTTCAAACACAACAAAGGAGGAGCAATGAAGAAGAAGAAATTACTCTGGCCTTTACCTTGCTCGTTGGGAACAAAGAAGAAGAAGAAATCAGTTGGCCGATTTACCTTGCTCAATGGGTTCTTCTTCTTTTCTGTCGTTGTTGTATTGTTCAATCGAAGGGACCACTATAGTTTGAAGGTTAACTGCCTAAATTTGAGACTATTTTTATTCACCAATCTCCTTTTTATTCAGGTATGTTTCTTTTTCTTAACATGTAATCTACCCTAGTTATGCTTAATGGATTTTAGCTCCCTAGTTTTGTTTCATGTGAGACTTGTTTGAATCATTTTGTCATTTCTACATAATTCTCTTTTGAGGAATTTGTATATGGACAAAGATGATGCGATAAAAAAAAGGGCATTAGTTAAAAAAGAAAAGGAAAAATATATTGTCTGCAATCAATCTTTCTCATTTGCCCAATTCCACTTCAACCTTTCAAGGAAATTGAAGAGAAAAAGAAAAATATACGTGCCTGATTACAAGTGACGGGGACAACTTTGAGAGGTAGTGAAGATGAGACATGGATTTTGGAATCTGACTAATGAGTTTTCTTTGGTACAAGGACACGTAGGATTAGAAGAAGACAAATAAAAGGAAGCTAGGGAGCTAAAATCCATTAAGCATATCTGGATTTTTCTAGTTAGATTGATTTGGCAGCCTTAAGACAACCATAATTATTGCAATTTGCCACGCGTTTTATGTAACACGATTTAACCGCGAGCGTACAGTGTCAAGTTTTGTTGTATATTAAGGAATTGAAAAGTGTCGAACCCACAGGGATTGATATTCGACTTCTACTGAGTATTATAATTGTGTCTGCGTTTACTTTATCTAGACAATCGGATGTTAAATTGATGTTTTAATGTTAAACTAATATCAATGAATTAAATAACGCAAGGAACATGAGGCAATATTTAAAGATTGGATCAGAATTATGTAATGTCTGGGGAGTGATTTCACCATATTATTGACATAATTCTCAACCCCTATAGATATTCCTATCAACTATTTCCCGAATTCATAGGCAAGAATCCTAAATTAATTCTATTTCCTGTTCTCGAATGTCAAATAGAACCTATCTCCATATTTTAATCCCAATATCTCTATTCCGAATTAAATATATAAAGATTATCAAACACTTGGTCCTTGTTTTACTCTCAAATATTTGCACTTTCTCTTGAAACCTACAAATCTAAGTTATATTGTTCTTGGATCACGCCTATATTTTCCTTTCTCGAGCGTCAAATTTAGAGCAACAATTCATTCAATTATTAATCAAGCAACTAAAAGCATTACGTAAGAACAATAAAAATCAACTCTGAAAAAATCAACGGGAATACTATAAAGAAATTAAATTATGTCTCAAATAGGTTACATCAAACCCTAGATTTAAAAGTTTAGTTCATGATGGAGAATAAAATTTCAATGAAATACAAACTAGGGTGCATGGATAAGAGAAAGATAGAGAAAAACTCAAGTTGCTGCTCTATCTCTCAGTCTTGCTGCTTGATTTCTCAGTTTTTTGCCTGCTTCTTCTCCAAAATCGGGTCAATCGATCTCAATTGGTGTTTCTTTTTCTCTTGCCTCTTCAGCCATCCAACCCCCTTCTCTTGGTCTTCATCTTGGTATTTATATTTTCTAAGAGTCCTCAACGGTTAGGGTATGATTTTTGGGCCGAAAAAATAATTAAAATTCCGAGTTTTATTCGTTTCAGGATTTGGTGCCACGGCGCCATACGCAATAATAACACGGCGCCAGTTATTCTGCTTCAATTGCTCTTCATTGGGCGCCATGGCGCTAGTGGTACTACCGGAACTTGACGTCTTTTGGGCACCATGACGCCTCCTTTTTCGGTATCGTGACGCCAATGCCACTGCTTTGCTTCTCTTCACTTTATTTTCCAAACTTATTTTCTACTCCAATCTTATTTAATACTTTCTTATTCATACTCCATTTCATTGATCATCATTTTTGCTCATCACAGGCTCCCAATAGTGGTATTTTCTCGAGAGTTGTCCAAACTGCAAAACAATACGAACACACATATCAAAACGTTCAAAAATGCCCAAGAACAAATCAAAAAACGTGATTTAGCAGCTTTAGTTTAATGAGTGAATTACACTCATCACAATTCTTTGGTTGTTTGGAGTGTAACGAAAACATGATCGTAAATTATGATAAATCCAAAACAAACCAAGTCTCAAGAATCTTGATTTTGGATCCGTTTGGCAGTTTTCGTTTCTATTTATGTTTCTATTTTTTGTTTTTATTAAAAAGCTTATGAAGATTTGTCTTAGATCAACTCTCTTTAAAAATTATTATAATAAAATAAAGCAAACATGTACAAAAATAGCTTATTAACTTCATAAGCAATTTTTGTACGGAGATTCACATCTATGGTTCCTTTTTTTTTTTTTTACATCTAGAGTGAAGTTAGATATAAGTAAAGAGAACTGCATTTAGACCACCTAGAGTGCTTTAGATGCATTGTATTAAATAGTTGGATTTTGTTTGAGATTGACAGACTGTGCAAATGAATGGAAGGAAATTGAAGATTTGTTTAGACTTTTTATGGTGCCTTCCAGATACGGTCAAGGCTAAAAAAGTTGGTCATTTGCAGTTGGAGGAGAACAAACTATCTAGCCCCCGTCTGGCCCCCATTATGGGCACGGTTTATAGTTTGGACAGAGGAATCCAAAGACATGTGAAAAATTAATGGTGATAGTGAATGAACAAAAAAATTGTATGAAGATTCACATCTATGGTTTTTTTTTTTTTTTTTTTACATCTAGAGTGAAGTTACTTCATTACTTGAAAGATTATGGTTGTGTGATTAACATTGGTGCCTGTGTATTTACTTTCTAATAGTATTTAAAGTGATCATTAGTAATATTTTCATGCCGCTTACAGGATGGAGGACATATACAACATCGGTGATAGATGTGGTGCAAAGGTCTCGACACGTTGTAACGTGTCAAGTGTGGACAAAGTATCTGATGCATTAGATGATGTTCATAAGGAAATGTTCTTGAATTCATGCTTCGGTAAATTATACAACGTTAGGAATATGAAAATATCTGCCCAACTAATTCACAACTTGTTATTACGACAGGTTGTCTCTGTGAATAAGGATGAACTATGGTTTTGTTTAGAAATGAAAAAAGTTGCCCGTTTTTCTTTGTACGAATTTACGCTAGTTACAGGATTAAACCCTGCTACTGAGGAGGAGTATCAGAGCCAAATAAATGAAAATGGTAGATTGAAAACTAAATATTTCCCAACATCAAGTAAGATTACGCCTAAAGAATTAAACGAGGCTTTTGAAAAAGAGATATAAGATATGGATGAAAAAATATAAATTGGGTTTAGTTCTTATAAATGAGACAATGTTGAGGTCCAAAGAAAAAAATACATCTATAGATCTTCGCACCTTGGATAAAGTTGATGATTTGGAGCTGTTTAATGGATGTCCACAGGGAACAAAAAGTTTTAAATTTACAATACATGCATTCTTAAGAGTGTCAAAGGATCTAAAGCCTAAATATTCTTTGTGAGGGTTTCCACTAGCGATACAGGTAAATGGCCAAAACTTGTAATTTAGGCATTATTTTTATTTGATTTTAAATATTTTTAAACAACTTAGACATCTTCTTTCAGGTGTGGGCGTTCGAGTCTATTCCACAAATAGCAAACATGTATCGTGCTAGGTTAACTGTCAACCAATTGGAAGGAAATGGCAGGAATGTACACATGTATACTTTCCGTTATGTACTCGCGGACATTGGTTCGCAGTTGAGATTGACTTTTGTAAAGCAACAATGTTTGTGTATGATCCTGATAAAGGTTGCATTACGAGTGATCAACTCAAGGATGACTTGAAGTCTGCTAGTATCATTGTCCCGCTACTTTTGAAAGAAATCAACATCGATTTGGACACAGATAATCTTGCGATAGAAAGGAATACCAAAACCACTAAACAAGCAGTTTCGTAAGTTTTTTTTTAATTACAATTGAATATTTTGCTCTTATTAATTTAATCATTTCACTTCATTTACCATTACTTATTATTTTTCAGGGGCGATTGCGATATCTACGTAGTAAAATATATAGAATTCTTGAGCATCAACGGTCCAATAGAACAAGTTAACGGCTTTCTATATGAATAGATGGAGAGAAAAGATGGTTGCCGATATTTTTGCCCTTGATTTTGATCCTTAGGAACTTTCGATGTATTTGTACATGTATGAATATACTTTTATAGTTTATGTTCAATGTGGGTTTTTTTGTGTTATGGATAACAGTTTATTTTTTTAGGTTGATTTAGTTTATATTAAAAGGGAGATTATGTTGATTTTTTTCAAAATGACCAAAGTTGTTTAAAAAGACTGCAGTCGTTTTTAACAAAAAGATTGTAGTCTTTTTAAATGACTGTAGTCATTTTCCTTAAACGACTAAAGTCTTTTTAAACAATTGTAGTTGTTTTCCTAAACAGTACTAGTTGTTTATAATTTATTTCGTTTATAAACGTATAGGTAGACGAACTTTATTAGTTTAAAATGCATAAGAAGACGAACTTGGTTACATACAATTCATCGTGCTCTACCTACATTATGATTCAAGTATACCGTATTTAGATTCTAATTATGCTACTTACAGTAGTGTATAATGTAATATGAGGTGAGCATCAAACTTCTAACATTATGTATCGCGTTTGGTTCCGACTTATTAGTTTAAAATGAATAAGAAGACGAACTTTGTTACATATAATTCATCGTGCTCTACTTACATGATTCAAGTATACCATATTTAGATTCTAAGTATGCTACTTACAGTAATGTATAATGTGAGGTGAGGTGAGAATTGAACTTCTAACATTATAGATCGTGTTTGAATAAGCAAAATCATAATGTATGACATTTTAAATCTTGTTAGGTTAGATTTCAAACTATTTTGTACAAAAATGTATAGAAAAACGGGCGCATAAGCAAAAAATGAGATGGAAATTTGAAAAACGACTAAAGTTGTGTTACAAGACTGCCGTCGTTTTTATGTAAACGACTGGAGTTGTTTAAAGCGACTACGGTCGTTTTCTTACAAAACGACTTTGGTCATTTTAAACGACTGGAGTTGCTTTTGTTTTTAAGGAACAATGATAGTAGTCGTTTAAAACGATCAAAGTTGTTTTTCGACTACACTTACCATATGAAATAAATGACTATGAGAAAACTAGCCAATATTCATAAAATACAAATTTGGGATGAATTATGACAAAAAGTAATAATATAAAACATAAATTGTAATAACTTGTCATAACATTCTATCAACTAAATAAACAATATACTAATCCTCCAATCTTCTATCAGCTTAAGGTACTTGACTTGTATATGTTAGGCGGTTGTGCCCAGTTGCGGCACACCTACTATATTTGTGTCTTTTGGGAAACTCTCTAGTAGATGGAATCCTTGTTGTTTTAGTACATCCACCTCGTCGTCGTATTAATGGCAGCAACACATGGAAGAAGGCAAAATTTTCAGGAATTTCCCAATCAACTTCACTTGGCACAGGAAAAATAGTATCGCTATAAGCTACTCTCCAATACTCAACAGTATAATACAGAGAGCAGAACAAGTGAATAGCCACTCTTCTTCACCGTAGCTACTGCATGCTCACAAAGTAAATGTTTTATTTGAAACCATCTACAAGTACAAGTTTTTTCATCTAGGTTAACAACAAAATTCATAGTGTCGTTTCTCACTTTATGTGTAAACTGATCGATCAGTTCGACAACAAACTTCTTAGCTTTATCAACATTCTTACGCAGTTTTCCTTCAATTATTGGCGTTAGAGTACACGTACAGTTCTGTGCATTTGTACGCTTCTCATAAAACCATTTCTGCAATCTTTTTCTAATACTCTCAATCAGTACAAATATCGAATTCTGTCGATTTTTCTTAAACACGGAATTCATGACTCTGCATTGTTCGATGTCATGATATTGTAATGGTTCCTCTGAAAGTGTGACCTGGCCCAAGTATGGAAAGGTATTTTGACTAAATAATCCCAAGCTTTAATATCAATTCTCTCAATTTCGCTCATATAATTTCCAAACTCTTCTAAAGCATATGCTTTTGCAGCTTTCTTAGACAGTAGGAAAATCTCAATTTTTTGAGTTACCGTCCTTAAGTTACCTTTTATATGATATATGCAATGACCGTGATTGGCACTTTGATAGACAGCTCGAACTCCATTGATAATACTTGGATGTCGATCAGATATAACAACAATATCTTCATTATCCCCCGTCACTTCTTTCAACTTCATAAAAAACCAAGTCCACGATGCATCATTCTCAGAATCAACTATACCCCAAGCAAGAGGATAAATTTGAATATTTGCATTTTGACAAGTAGCAACAATTAGGGTACCTTTATATTTTTCAATCAAAAATATTCCATCAACGACAACTACCTTCTGCATCGAAGAGTGAAATCCGTGAATGCAAGGTCCAAGAGCTACAAAAAAGTACTTGAAGCGGTTCTCACTGTCTATCTCTAAGGACAATGCTGTTCCAGGATTAGTTCTAGCCAAATTATGAGAATATAAACCAAATTTAGCATAACTATCCTCAAGGGAACCTCTTAAAAGTTCAAAAGCATATTCTTGTGACTTTCGTGCCCTCTGATAACTCATTTCTACCCCGAATTCCCTACGCATGTTATCAATGATGTCTGTAGGTCTATATACAGTGTTGGGATTTTGAAACTTAACCATTATATGTCACCCAACAACCCATAATCTTGCTTGTCTATAATCATTTCGACGAATACTCATAGAGCAAGTACGTTCACGTGCATACTTGCGAATTTGAAAGTAATCACAATTTTTGAATTTCGTTGCTCGCAAGCGCCATTTGCAATTTTCATCTATGCAAACAATTGTATAGACTTCCTTATTTGATTTCTTCACTCTAAATTCAAAATTATACTTCATTGCAAGCATGTGAACTTCCATCATAAGATCTTTTTTGCTATTGAAAATTTGACGATCTTCTAAATCTGCATCTTCGGGAATCACATGTGACGAAAGAGTTGAAACTACAAGATGCTGATTAGTAAAAAGATTTTCTTCTCTATTGTTTTGAAGCATCTCGGATTCATGTGTAGAAAAGACAATAGTGTTACCATTTTCAGTAATACTTCATTGCAAGCATGTGAACTTCCATCATAAGATCTTTTTTGCTATTGAAAATTTGACGATCTTCTAAATCTGCATCTTCGGGAATCACATGTGACGAAAGAGTTGAAACTACAAGATGCTGATTAGTAAAAAGATTTTCTTCTCTATTGTTTTGAAGCATCTCGGATTCATGTGTAGAAAAGACAATAGTGTTACCATTTTCAGTAATATCCACATCATTATCTCCGGCTATCTCCAACTCATCCCAGTTAATGTTCTCAGTCCAATCCATTTCATTGTTGTCATTAGCTTACATTTCACAATGATGATTGCTACCTTCGTTTTGCATTTCATGATAAATTTCATTGTCTACTTCATAACATGGATCATTGTCTTTTTCTTGTGGATGGTCAGCTAGATCTTTGGTCACAAGAGTTACACAAATTGGACAATGAGAATTTTTTTGGTTGAGAGATAGCAACCACTGCACTTGCTTGTCTGAAGTAATTTTAATTGGAACTGAAAATTGTCCATTTCCAGGTAGAAGAAATCTCATCTCAATTTCATGCGAAGATGAATCAACTTTGCAAATGTTTAGCACTTCACAATATAGATCATGATATGAAGTATCTGAAGATATTGGAACTCCTTCCACCATTTCATCATCCCCACTTCGTTTCCATATCCATTTTCCTTCATCATCATTAATAAAATTACCCAAATAAAATATGGCAATCCATGTTGTTGAGTCCATATCTGTAATTAGAATAGTAATATTTTAGAAAGTTAGCAAAAAATCAATTATTGTAAGCTAAAGTGATTATGGTCATTTAAAACGACTAAGACCCTAGTCATTTTAAACGTCCATTCCGATTCTATCATTAAAAAATATGAGATTCTGCTTTCTAAAATCACTTGAGATCGAAAATGAGTTCAAATACTTAAATAAACAGAAATGACAATGAATGTATGTGCAAATGAAAAAAAGATGAAAAAATAACTAAAAGTAAGTGAGAAGAATATCTTACCAATATAAAATGTAGAAATATAAGGGTTTGTTTTTTAATGCGCTTCTTTATGCTTCGAGTAAAACTAGAAAAGAAAAAAGAACAAAGAAGTAGAAGATTAGATAAACTAAAAAAGAAGAAGGAGAAGAAGAAGAAGAGGAGGAGGGGAAGACGTTGGAATTTCAAAAAAAGAAAACTAACAGTTATAATATGCAAATTGGGCATTTTGGTCATTATATAATAAGGACATTTGGGATATTTCAATAATATGTACAAGGTTAAATTGGACATTTTAACATAAAAAGGGCCTCAAAAACTTTTTTATAGTAAGTTGGGCCTAAAAAAATTGTGGAAGATTTGACTGGGCCATTTATAAAAATACCCCAAGACAAAATACTTCTTCCACTCCACTGCCCCATTTTTACTTTTAACGTTGATACTGAATTACTCTAGTGAGGAATACTCTTCTCACAGGCTAAAAGGTTCTTAATTTAACCAGATTTATTTTTATTTGTTGATTCCAATTAAGTACAGAAAATAATTTAATTCATCCAAATTTCCTTCTATTTTCCCCTAAGAACCCCAGGAAAAGAAAACAATTACTTTTGATTTTTTCGTAAAATTTATACGCATTGACTTTTATACACGATTTTCTTTGATTTTTATTTTTTGTGTGCGATTTGGTGATTTTTTTTGGCAAGTATTGAATTACAAATAGATAGGTATTTAATATTTTGGTTTATTGATTCGTGTAATTTGATTCGTGTGATTTAGCCCGTATGAAATGCAGTTTTTGATCCGTTTGGGTGAGGACTGGGAACTTTCTGCTGATATTATTGTGCACTGTGATTGTAAGGTTACTTCTTTGAGTGGAATTTTTATCGATTTGGAAAAAGTGCGCATTTTAGAGATTTCTGTCTCTGTTTTGTTGTCTAATATAGAGAGTACAAACGTAATATTGTTGGTTTACATGTTAAGATTCTATTATGGATACTACTGTCAGAAACCTGTGCTAAATGGGTGGAATTATTTTTTGGTCAATATCTATTCTAATGGTACTAAGTCACGAAGTTGTTAGTTCATTGGGATATATACTATACATTATCCTTAATCCAATTGAAGTTCATGTTGTAAATAGCAATTTGGATTTTTGTTTTTCCAGCAACTGTTTCTCGATAATCATCTTTACTTTTTACTGAAATTTCATCTAGCTGTGGAGGCTGTGCAGTGATGACGCTTTTATAGTTTGCTTTTCCAGGAAGAGCCTACTGAAGAATGGCAAGCACTGTGGATGCAGTAGGAGATCCAGTTCCCAATTCATCTGTCCTGATGGCATCATGGAAACACATATCAACCAATTGTCGTAATGAGAATTTGGCCTTCCTCAAATGCAAGAAGGCTGATGGAAACCCCGAGAAATGCCTTGACAAAGGCCAACAAGTTACTCGCTGCGTGCTTAGCCTGTAAGTAAAATTTCACCTGCATAAGTGTAACAGGCTTGGGAGTGTTTCCAATTTTTAATATTGTTCAGTTGTCAAGTTCTTAATCAATATGATCTGAACTTGTCTGCATCCATTACGGTAGCTATTGGAAATCATGGCCCTTTTTCCTAATTATTAATAAAGGTCTAGATTTCCAATTGAAGTTGTGACAGTATTCTGGAAATATGATCACTTCTTTTTGGTCAATTGACTGCAAGTAAAAGTTAATTTTGATGCAATCTCCTGTCTATTCTAAGTGATATTGTAATTTATTAGACATTAAATTAATCCTGCTACTATTTTGTGATTTGGTTGTCTTTTAGGAGAGATAATAACCTGGGTTTAAACTTGCATTTGACACTAAAGTTTTTTTGTGAGCTAATTTTATTTTTTTTTCTTTGAGAACTCTAAACGGGTGCGATTCGAAATTTACTGTAATAAATGAATAATATATAAGCATTTAGAATGTTAGTTAATCTTTTTTGAAGCTGGATGACTCAAGAAGCAAACTACTTACTCATGAAATTCTCTGAGTTATGACTACTTGGGAATCCGCATTTCACAATTTGTCGGAACATTTTTTTTTTTTTTTTCACAAGGTTAGAATATCCTTACATGCAAACAAAGAAGACTTCTTCGAATTAGTCGCCTTTTTCTCTTTTTCAGTATCCCTTTATATTTTGTTGTTTTTTTATGTGGACTGTTCAGGTATAATGGGAGTCAAAATATACTGAATTTGCACATTAGAATCATCGTGGCTCTCAAGTAATTAGAACATAATTATTCATATCATTTGATAGGTCATGTACTATCTCCCGTTCCAAACTATGTCCATTTATATCCTCAATGGTGTTATATATCAACCCCAACGTGAAGAATAGACATGACCAGGTGACCAGAGTAGGATGACATACAAACATATCTAGTAAATTAAGAGATGACAAAGAATGCTGATGACTCACTCGTTACAATCTTGGTCCTTGAGTAAATTAAGAGATGACAAAGAATGCTGATGACTCACTCGTTACAATCTTGGTCCTTGAAGACAATCCTGAAGCTATTGCTTCATGTATTAGAATTTAGAACTTTTGCATACCAGAAAGCTGTCGCCTTTATATGATAAATCGGCGCCCCGAATGTGAGTTTACAAGGACAGTAAATCCTTTCGGGTTGCTCCACTATAGCACGATCTGGTGACAGGAAAATTCTGGTCTTTGTTTTTTCTCGGGTTGGTGTTTGTATGATGTTGGTCTTTAGTTTGCATGTTTGCGCAATTACTCTCCCTCATTAATATCTCGAGTTACACAGCCAAGATCCATTGAGAAGTTACAATCTCCTTATAGTGTTTGCATATTCATTTCAGGGTGGAATGAATTTAGTCAACTAGACGCACATCTGGGTTCAGATTCAGTTTCCACCTCCTTGTAGACTTATCTAGAACCTTCCAGGCATAGCCTATTTTGACCATGACTAATTTTCCATACAAATTCTTGCCATTATTCCACCCTCAGCTGATCCTGCATTTCCAGCTGCTGTTCCTTGAATATTGACGTTAACGAACAACAAACAGGAGGGGTCTTCATTTAATCTGAACGATGCGTTTTGGTGCTTTTCATCTGTCAGAGCAAGCTGCGCTTCTTTCGGATTCTGTATTATGGTACTGATTTGCCAATTGGTGTCTTGGAATTCCATATAGATGACTGTGAGGTTCCTACAGTACCAAATATGTTGGAGTGCTTTAGAAAGGAGGACAATCCAGTTCAGGTCGTAGAAGTTTGATCATTGAGGGCATGAAGATTGAAGCGTTTTCAAAATTAGAAACTGTTCGAACATATTAGTGTTCTGCTGATTCTCAAACCCTTTTCTTTATGCACTATATGGTAAGTGCTACTAGGGCAATTCTTTTAACCTGAACCCCCCAGAAATTTCTTGACATACCATACTGCTGCTATAGGAAGTTGGACTAAAGAAAGTGTTACTTGAGAATATTAGGCAAGATCATTATTCTGGTTGTTTTTTAGTGTCCTACTATTCTCTTTAACTATCTCATTAATTCTAGATTAATTGTACTGTATGATTTTAAAACCAGAACGTTGAGTACCTCGTATGGTAACATCAGCTGATCTCAGAAGCTGCTTACACATTTTCTATTCAACCACTATGAATCCGCGTGTTTAATCATGCATGTTTCTGATTTTGTTTTTCAAATATTCAAATGATGATTGATATTAGGACTTCAATCCCTGATGAAGATTAACATGTTGTATTTGTGTTGTAGCCTGAAAGATCTTCACCAGAGGTGCAACAAAGAGCTGGATTCTTATGCAGGGTGCATGTATTACCATACGAACGAGTTTGAAATGTGTCGGAAAGAGCAAACAGAGTTCGAGAAAGCATGTCCGTTTGATTAAACGACAAAAGTTCTCTCCAGTCTTATGAACTGAATAAATTCACCAGATCTGCAACAAGTGGATTCTTCTTTTGAATGTAGTTTTGAGTGACTGTTTCTGATTTGGATTCCACCATTCTGAATAATAAGATATTTTCATGGGTTTGCTTTTAAGCGCCAAAGAGATGCCAGAGTCAAGTGTTCATTTCTAGTATGTTTTAACAGTGATGATTTATTTGTCTAAACTCGTTGAGTTCATCTTAAGACATCTGTTTTTATCTTTTAAAATGCTTGATTTCCTTACAATTCAAACTCTTTTAGAAAATACATTTGTTACCATTTTATTTGTCCAAAAAATAATTTCAGAGGAGGATGCAATGTAAATATAAAATATTTATCTACATATGTTGAGGTTGTAAGTTTAACAAAATGCAATTTCTTTTTATTAATTGAAAATTCCATGTAATATTGTTTTCAAAAGAGAAAACACATTTTTTATAAAAGAGTTGAGATCGTAACTTAATTGTAATGATGTTTTTAATATTTGTTCATCGTTGCACTTTTACAATTTTTTCGTCGAATTCTATAGTAAACGTAGCCCCCTTTTGAATCCCATTGTTTTTGATTACATTAAATTAAATTTTTATCTCTTCTACTTTTAACCACACAATCTTCAATAAAATAATATTACACGTAAATAAAAAAATTTTCAACCACTCATGTTTCAAAAAAATACTATTCATCTCATTATAATCTACAAATAATGGGGTGTAGCAAACAAAAACTATGATGTGAATGCAATTGGCAAACAAAAAAGTTTGAGGTGCTATTTTGCAAATTATACTTTTTGGCGGGCCTTTTCAAGTGAAAGGCTACAGGGATCGTCCAGACGCAGACAGCCACCAGCCCAGCAGTAATGTCTCAGAGCAACAGGTTCTTGTGCACGAACGGCGTCGTATCACCGTCACCAGACACTCCACCAGTCACAACCTTACTCGAAGCACACCCTGGTACGCATTTCTCTAATTACCCTAAAATTCCCATCTATTTGATATCCTTTTTTTTACGCAAAAAGGATTTCAAACTGAGAAAGATGAGACCCATAAAGAATAATTCAATTATATTATTTAGTCAGCTGCATTAATGAATTTTCAGGTGCATATACGACTACTCGTACTCATAATAACGGTTCAGAACTCCTGTTCTGGGGTAGACATTTAACCAGATTGTCGAATTCTACAAAAATATTATTAACTACCCGCCCTAAACTTCTGTTTGAAAATCCAGACAAAAATGGGGCTCCGTTTTTGGGATTTTTGACGCGATCAGTGAAGTGGGATTCAGTTATTGAGGCTTTAGTTAATGATTCGATTAGAAAATTATTTCCCACTGCGTTGAAAGAGAGGAAATGCGAGGAGGAGTTGGCGGTTACGGCACTTGTGAGTGGGAATTTGGAGAAATTGAGTAATTCTGGTGGTGAGTTTGATGAAGAAAGTATAAGCGAGTTTTTGGATGTATATTTGCACATAGCTGGGTATGATCCGCCACTCTATGGCATTCGAGGAAATGGGGCACATTTGGCTGTTGTGGGGCCTGGAAGGGATGTTGCTAATGCAAAGTATTCGGATTGGGTCAGGTAATTCTGTGTGAATGAGAATGCTAAATTGCATATTCCTTTTCAGTAGTTTATCTAAGCAAATCTAACTGATACATGTGTTAATGAGAATGCTACATTGCATATGCATTGAACAGTTTTCTGGTTTGGACTATGTTTAATTTAATTTTTATATGTAGGCTAAGGAAGAGTTTGGAGAAGCTGAGACCACCTTCTATTACTGAACTTCTATTATCAAATGATGGTGATCGAATTTTGGAAGGCTGTTTGACTAATTTTTTTGTTATTTGTCTGAAGGTGAGTGGTTAAATTTTGCTATATGTTAATAAATTGTCTCCAGTTTTTCCTGGCTTGTGTTATGAATTTGCGTGTTATCTTTTGCTAAGAATAGGGTGAGATGTATTTCTTTTTGAAGTATTCTTTGTATCACGGACACTTTAACTAGGGTAGCATGTTCGTGTCCGACACGTATTGGACACGTGTCGATATCGATATTTTTCAGACACTCTACAATAATTATTTTTCCTTTTTACTATAGTTATTATATATTTTTAACTCAAAATTATTAGTAAATAACAAATAAGTACTCATATTTAAAAGATTTCAATAAGAAAAATCAATAATAAGTATAAAACTAAATTTCAACTATATAAATGAAGAATTTTAAAGAATTTAATAAATGTGTCGGCACTTTTTTAAAAAATCACGAGTCAACGTATCCAACACATAAGAAGTACTAAATTTGTATTAGTGCTTTACTGTTATAACTGGGGCGCACTCGTAAGTAAATTCAAATTGATTGAGATTGCAACATAATTCTGCTCAAGAGACTTCTAAGACTGTTTACACATAATCAACTCCATCAGAAATCGAGCGATTCTTTAGGAGAAATTATAGTGGTTGTTTAAGTTTCCCTGATAGTGGTGAATTACAGGGTCTGTAAGCTTATCATGCCCTTTCTGTGTTTCCACACAGTAATCAACTATGTAGAGGCAACTGTACTTTTATATACTATATCTAAATATTTGTTGGATCAAACCTTTTATTGGAAGGACTTGTAAATTGAAGTTTAAATTAAATTGGTTTTGTCCATGGGTGATGGCTTTTATAGTCGTAGTACTTATTTTAACATTTGGATTCTCTATAAAATCTTGATTTCAGGACAACAATGAAGACAATAATTTTGCTGAGAAGAAAGGCTTGCAAACATTTAGATCTGTTGAGATTCAGACAGCTCCTGTCGCCGATGGCATTCTTCCTGGAGTTATACGCCAAGTAATCACTCAGTAAGTTAGTTTATTTCAACTAATCATCCCCCACCCCACCCACCATGCAAACCCTGTTCCAGTTCGGCCCTTTTTTAGGTGTGCCGAGCTAGCCGCCGCCTGGGCCATGGTTTTTTGTTTTATTATTATTTTTTTATAAAAAAATTTGTACCTTTGAACTTTGCGCCTCTAAATTAACATTAGAAATGAATACCCCTTGGTGTCCTTTTAATCTCTTTTTTCTTAAATTAAATAAATGGTCCCCAGACACAGTATGGTTGGGCTACATGTCCCTACTGCATGGCCCTATTGTAGGCACGGGTCGATCCACAGATTGGGTGGGCCATGCCTTTAACGTTTCACATTTTGACACATCTATCCCGGTAATATTTTAAAGAATATGTGATAAAAAATCATGCTCGCCCAAATTACAATTTTAAGTTTGTGCAGAATATGCTTGCAAATTGGAATCCCTCTTCGAGAAGTTGCACCATCATGGTCACAGCGTGAGTTGTGGGTGGAAGCATTCATCACTAGTAAGTTTGTTAGTCATTACCTCCAACACTACAATAGCATTCTGTTTTGAAATCTTAAGTACCATCTATTAAAACTTCAGTAGTCGTGGGTTTTTAACTTGCCTATTTCGAGGTTTTATCTCTTTTACACGGCTCTTATTTTTATAAAGTTAAGTTTTATTGTCATTTTCCAGTTTCCCTTTCATGCTCTTGAGATGAAACATCTACCTTTAATGTTGGTTCATGCACTATTAATCTTGAGAACAATCATTTTCTGGCATACTGAAATGCCAAATAAACTAACTCACTTGAATTAAGATATAGAACAAAATTATGGTTACTGTGCAGATAATCAGATTTTTAGTCCATGGCACCTCTAGTTTATTCTGTGGATTGATTTAGCATTTTAAGGGGTGAAAAAAATTAACTTCCCTTTTTCCTCGCGGAAGGAATATACTATATTTGTAGTTATTTGATGGGACCAGAAGTTTAAGTCAGGCTGTATTGCAGATAGCCTTAGGGTGCTACAGCATGTTGATACAATCCAAGTTCCAGACTCATGGGAATCAGTGGAATCAAAAACATGGAAGGAGATAACATGGGTTGAGAAACGATTTGAGGTGCGTGATCTTCTACTGATAGTGCAACAAATAGGAGTTTAAGCTGCTCTAGAGAACTAACTTTTCTGTGGCACTTTCTATTTGGATATCAGGCTGAGCCAGGAAGGATCACATCAATCATCCAGGTATGTGGATAGCATGCTTATATCTTGCCTAGCACCGTTTGATACATGGTAGTTTTATATTATCAGCAGGTATGTGGATAGCTTACTTCATTCCATCTCAAGATGGTCACTGCTCTTAAACACTTACAATTTGGTCTCTGCATATATATTATGGAAAAGGTGATGTGACGTTTGTCAAATTAACAAAAATGGATAAAATGATCGAATTGTAATGATCTTCAAATATTAGTGATCTAATTGTAACAAAATCTAAGTTCAATTATCCACTCGGACAAAATGAAGTTTAGGGAACAAACTTAAGATTTCGCTAAAAGTTTAGTGACCTCCAGGGTATAAAATCCATTGTCTTGGAATGTGTGGCTTTTCGACAAATCATGAAAATGAGGTGGAGAATGTATTTTCTGTGATGCATATCAATGCAGTAAACATTTATTTTATTACTTTTTTATCTACTTTTTTTTATTTATTTTTTTTGCTGAAGTATCTCAACTTTTGAAGGTCTCAAGGGAAAAATGAAATATTATTTTACTTGTCAACATTTGATGTAGTTGGAAAAAAAAAGTGCACCATTTGAAACAATATGCTTAGGCAGAAGCCGGAATTTGATCTTATTTCTTTGCTGAGTCATAAGCAAAAAAAATAAGACGTAAAAAATTATGTTTTTAAGATGGACCTCCTTTTGGTAACTCCTAGTCTCCTACAACATTTGGCTATGCTTGAGATAGGAAAAGAAACTAAAAAGTTTTCCTCGTGGCATTGTACAATCCAGTCCAATAGAGTGTATCAATGCATGCCCTCTAAGTAGTTAACAGATACCATAAACTCTTGGAGGTGATTAATTTTCTTTGCTTTGATGCATTTGAGCAGAGGGAGATCATGGAAAGAGCAGGAATTGAAACATTTCCAGTAACTTCACTTAACTTGTAACCTCGTGCATATTCTCTGTTGGCTGTCAAAGTGAAGACGTGTTGTACCTCACCTAGAGAAGAACAAGACAAGCACTCTGAACGAGCGAAGGCCCCATATGCACCGTGTTGGCACTTCCGTGAAGTTCAGTTGATTTAATGGCTTTGGTAATGTCTGTGAGCCCAAATTATTAGGCGGATGGCTTTTCGTTTCTCTTGTGAATGGTTGCTCTTTAATTATGAAATTCGGTTGGAACTTGCCAAACCATGTATAGTGTGAAAGTGTGTGTTTGAGGCCTATATCATCATCCTCATATTATTACATATAGAGGAGCAGTGTAAATTGATTTGTTTAGAGGACGCAGTTAATCTGAAACGTAGAATTTTGATGCAGATAATATAGGATAAAGTTAAGTGAGAATTCATTTAATTAAATTTAGTGTTCTTCTCATGTGCAAAAAGAAGACCTGAGTTTGATTTTACATATATAAATTTGGATATGATTTTTATTTACTTTTAATTAGGCAGAAAAAGATTATCAATAGTGTCTTTTGCATATCGAATGAGCTGATTTCCCATGACCATTTGACGGAGCAAATGGATGGAATGAGATGACGCACTCAAATGTTAAAAGTGAGAAAAGAGAAACGATTTGTTCAATGAAAATATTTTATATGGAAGTATTGCCATCGCCCTTTTTGATCCCATTTGCAAGTAAAAGCAATTAAAGGAAAAAATACAACTAAAGATACTGGAAATTACGTGCCAATAGGTTCTTAAAGATTACATAAATCAACTATGAAGTTTATTTGTTCACATATCAAGAATTAATATAATAACTAAATATTAATTATCTCATCTCGATTTAATTCCAAATCCTAAAATCATTTCATTCTATTCTCCCACTCTATCTTCTAACTCTTTCTACCTAATTCACACCCTCCTCAATCCAGTGACGGTGATGGCGTCGCACCCATTGTCGAAGATAGCTATCACACACATGACGGCGACGTACTTATTGTCGGATATTGCGGTCATAGACACTTTCTCTTTTCACTCTCTCTCACTTTGGAGCATCATGCTAATCGCTAACTCACAGCAGTGCTCCACCCACTCGCAAAAATGGTGGCAACACTATAATGACAATGTACTCATTGTCGAAGATTGCCGATATGGATTTTTTGTTCTCACACTCTCTTTATCGGAGCATCACGTTGAGCACCACCTTGCAGAGGTGCTCCACCCACTGTCGAAAATGGTGGAGATGTGAGCATCGCTGCCAGCAGCTCTACACAGCAATCTCACTATGCAACGATGACAAGTCACAGATTTTTTTGGTTGGTGGATTGTTAGTAGTTGTGGTGAATTGTTACAGTGGCGGTAATTAGTGGCCAGAGATTTGATAGTGGTGTTTATGGTGGTTTTTGTTGCCAATAGATTGGATCTAGTGGTAGTGTGTGGTGTTGGTGTGCTGGCGACAGTAGCGAGGTGAGGGTGGTCGCAAGTGGCCGTAGCATTGGTGGCATTGTTGGTGGTGTATGTAACCAACTATTTGGTTATCTATGACCAATTATTTAATTTTGATCTAAAAATTCGATAATTTGTGATTGAAAAATAATCTGTGACCAACTATTTGAAAATTTGTAATCGACAAAGAAGTTGTGATCTATATATTTTTTTATTTGTGAGTGATGAAATAATCTGCGGTTAATTAATTTGTTAATATGTGATGTTGTGACCTATAAGTACGCGCATGTGGTCATTAATTGTATAACTATAACCTTAATATATTTAATTAATAAAAAATTTTCAATTAATTAATTAATACTTGAGTTTTGAAACTTAAAATCTGGAAATTGAATTGCCATATTGATGCATGACTTAGTGAATTTTTCCCCTAAAGATAAATGGATAAATCGAAAAGGGCCTGCGGTTTTTGGGGTGCTCGAGATTCTATATAGATTCCAAAATGGCCCATGTTTGAGTTGAGCCTTGCTTACGGACTGAATTAGCCCAACCCGTTGGACATGTCCATTTCTTGAACACACGTGACCATCACATGTCCAATTACGAAGGACATGTGACAAGCACGTGAGCCTAATCATTCATTTGAAGAAGGCGACACCCATTTGAGATTTACAAATACTTTATTCTCTATTTTCACTCCTCACGACGTTCATCATCATTTCTTGCCTGCACGAGCTTGCCAGCTCAACTTAGACCCCTCTTCCCCGGTCTCCTGCGGTCAAAATTAAAAAGAGAGCAAAAAAAAAAAGAGTTTTGCTAGTTGTACAATCGGGGTTTAACCCCGATTGACAACCTCCTCACAAGAAGGGTGCCCACAATTTTGTATTCATTATGGGTCATCTCCCATATATGTGGTTGTTAACCTCGATTGACGATTGTACATATAACATTTCTCAAAAAAGAACAATTTTGTTAGGTAAAATAAATTTGCATATTTTTTATTTTTAGCTAGTTTGATAAAATTTTATCGACTTTTCAACAAATTTAATGGGACCACTCCTCGAAATGTGTTGAAGCACAGTAGTTGACTGAACATTTAACTTTAAAGGTAAAACACTATTTTAAAACGAGCCAAGAAAGCATTACCAAATCGAGGTAAACTTTAAATATTAGTTATGACTTCAGACAAGGATCAAGTACAACCCGTGAGATGATGGGTTATCAACCATACATTTAATCAACTTATGAAATATTCTGTTAAAATTTAGTCCTTGTTTGATTCTCATTTTGGGAGAAATAATGCATTTTAGATAATAGATTGATGGAGAATGTATAGTTAAAAATTAAAGAAAAATTTTGACTTTGCGTGTAATATTATTTTATTGAAAATATGTGATTAAAAATGAATTTTGAAAAAAATAAATGTTTAGAAGAAGAGGAATCAAACATGGGCTTACTAAAGGATTTTCCAAACACATTGCAATTTAGTACAAGTACTTATCATCAATATAGATGACTTTATTGATTTAATAATTTATTGTACAATGAATCCGTGGGATGAATACCCCTCTCGTACAAAGTACAACAAAATTGAAAAAGAAATGATAATATTTTGTATTATAAGGCAGTGCCAATTCAGAGGATGAGGAATACCAGCTTGCACCACTATGATCTGGTTCTGGTTGTCGAAACTGAACATTGCCATTTACAAATATGCCCTTCTTTGCCAAACAGCTGGCCACGTTATATTATTCAGAATTTCAGAGATGAGGGGATAAAAAGGGGACATTATATCGAGAGAGTGAGATGTTTTTGTTCAATTTATTAATTCGTATAGGATCAATATAGATGACTTTATTGATTTAATAATTTATTGTACAATGAATCCGTGGGATGAATACCCCTCTCGTACAAAGTACAACAAAATTGAAAAAGAAATGATAATATTTTGTATTATAAGGCAGTGCCAATTCAGAGGATGAGGAATACCAGCTTGCACCACTATGATCTGGTTCTGGTTGTCGAAACTGAACATTGCCATTTACAAATATGCCCTTCTTTGCCAAACAGCTGGCCACGTTATATTATTCAGAATTTCAGAGATGAGGGGATAAAAAGGGGACATTATATCGAGAGAGTGAGATGTTTTTGTTCAATTTATTAATTCGTATAGGAAAGGAAAAAAAAAAAAAAAAAACCATTGAAAAATGACAGAACAAAAATCTTCCATTACATTGTATAATGGTAACATGTTGTCATGGAAGTTTTAAAAATAAGGGTTGCCATGGTATAAAAAAGGGACCATACTGTGTGTACACAATGGTGTACACACGGCTTACACTTCCCTCACTATGTGAGGTGGGTGTAAAGCCAAGGTGTACACACGACGTTTTCTATAAAAAAGATATCTCGATTCTTGAAATAGTTTGTGTAAATTTTCATTTTATTGAAAAAATCAAATTCTTTCTTTAAGCCTAACGTTTCTAAAGATGCCTAATTGGAGTCGGACAGACTTTACTGACTTCACAATGTATCTGTCTATATATTTTATTTTTCTAGCGGCTTTCTTTATATGAAATTTATATATCAAAGATATTTCAATTTTAACCCCTACATTTTTTTATTTTACTTTTTTTTAAATTTTCCCTTGATAGGGAAAAAAATGTAGTCCTTTGTACTATGAAGCCCATATCTAATGGGCCATAATGGGCTAATTTTGGTTACACTATTAAGATCATAATCCTATACAATTTGCTCACAAAATAGAGAATTAATTGGTCACAAATAATTTCTTGATCACAATAAAATATTTTATAGGTCACAAATAAAAAAAATTTATACGTCACAATTTATTCATCGGTCACAAATTTATCAATTAATAGGTAATATATTATTCATTAATCACAAATCATAAATTTTATAAGTCACAACTTATTTCATGGTCACAAATATCTAATTAATTAGTTACAAATTATTTCTCTGTCATAACTTATCAAATTATTGGTCACAATTTAACAATTGTTTAGGTCACGTGTTATTTATTAGTCACAAATTATCTATCTTATTGATCACATATTATTTATTAGTATCATATTAACCAATTTATTGGTCAAAATTAACCAAATAATTTTTTACCATTGCCACCTCGATCATCGTCGTCGTTCCCACCAGCAACACCACTTGTCACCACAACCACCATACAACCTCATCAGAAATGTCAATTCACCACCACTACCACCACCAGCTCACTACCAACAAATCGGATTCAAAATCGCCATCACCTCATCGTCGTCGTTGTCGCCACTTACACCATCACCTTCACCACCACGACCACAACCATTCTTTCCAACAAACACTTCTTCATGGACCTGTCAATAAGAGAACCATCATGGTACCAACACCTCACCGCTACGGCTCGATCCACTACCATATACACCAATCACTTATACCACTATCATCGCCACCTATACCACTATCACCTCAATCAACCACCACACCAACAGCCGGCCAAAAGGTCTCCCCACCGCCAAGGTCCCTAGCTTTACTCTGTCAACGTTCCCTCCAATTGCTATGAATTATCGAATTGCACATAGCGCCCCTATCACCACCACCTTTAACACCACCACCAAATCTACATCGCGCTAGAACCTCCACCTGCACCACTAACAAAAACCAACCCAAATCCCTAATAAAACCAAAATATGGAAAACAACCACCACCACTCCAACAACCAAAATCAAAACCACCTCCTTCTTATCGCCGGACCCGGCACCACTTGCACTAACAACCTGTAGCACCACCATCACCACCGAATAGCAGCAATGACAGGGACAACGTTTACATCATCGTTGCGCAGTAGCGACAATGCCGTTTCACATTGTAGCATCGTGACTTATCATCGCAGCAATAATGCTCATATCAAGCAAGGCTGCTGCAGCAATGATTGTCTAAGATTAAAGAGACG